TGCATGTGTGTCCTGGAGGGGGCTGTACACCTAAATTCTCATGAGACCGATATAATTTCATCTCCTCGCAGCTTCTCCTCATCCAGGAAACGAATACCTCCTGGCCTCGTGTCCATTTGCAGAAGTCAGACTGCAGCTCCCTGACCTGTGAAGCCCTCACTGGACCAGAGAGGCTTTTCAATCCAATCTGCAGACCTGTGATGCTGTTTGGTCAAACTAATCATGTGTAAATAAAGTGGTTTGCTACCATGCAGCTCTTATGAAACCCCTCCTGCTGATTGCTCTTCCTATTATGACTTCACGCAATTTCTGAATTTACAGATGAATACATCAAATTCTATAGAGAAACAGCAGAGGCCTCTCAGCTCTCTAATGAGGCAATAAGTTTGACAAGGCTATATGGAACATAAAAGGGGGAAAATGCAGGTGAAATGGTTAAAAAAAGAAACTTCTATTGCTTAAGTTTGACAGAATCCATTTGCTGGTCTGTGGAAGTCACTCAAGGACTCTCTCAAYCCTTTGAGTTCTGTTCTGCCTGCAGGATCACACCTCCAGAGCGACTGCAGGGGTGCAGGGCTTGATGGAGGTTCTGGCTGCAACACAATGGCTAATGTCGTGAGTTGTCAGGGACTCAATAGGGAGCTGGTCTCAGGCGGCTGTATGCAAGCCGGTACCAAGCCGGAAGAGCGGCCCCTTTGGCTGGAGAGTGACGGCTCTCTGGAGTCGTACTGTCTCTGATTGCACAGCGAGGAGAGAGCTGAAGGAGTCAGTGACCTGTCAGGCCCAACCTTCATCAACCAGTTCTGCAAACTCACACAGCACTGCATCCTGCGCATAAAGCACGGGTTGAAGCTGTAGTTGATTGCATCCAGAATAATAAAAAAATGAGCTATGAACTAAAACACTGCATTGTGTTTAATACATGCTTCAAATGGATATATTGAATCTTTCCTGCATTTCTCTGATAGATGATCAGCATCTGGAATGTTTATCAAACATTCAAACTAAGATTTTTTCTAATTGAAAATGGATTTGTCTCCAACATCCATAAAACCCTTCACCCATCCATCCATCCATTTTCTGTACACGCTTCTTTCTTTTCAGGGTCGCGTGGGTCACTGGTGCCCATATCCAGCAGTCACAGTGCGAGGGGCGGGGTACACCCTGGACAGGTCGCAAGTCCATCACAGGGCCACACATAGAGACAAACGAGACAAACAACCATTCACTCTCTCACTCACACCYAGGGACAATTTAGAGTTATCAATTAACCTAACAGTCATGTTTTTGGTCTGTGGGAGGAAGCCGGAGTACCCGGAGAGAACCCACGCATGCACGGAGAGAACATGCAAACTCTACACAGAAAGGTCCCCGGACTGGGATTTGAACTGGTGATCTTCTTGCTGAGAGGCATCAGCTCTACCAACTGAGCCACCGTGCCGCCTAAAACCCTTCACAACAATCATAAATTTTACTTTTTACCTTTTTGTTCTGGTTCTGCTTTTTTAATTTCTTGATGCAAATGTTAGCTTCCTTCAGCTTCTGTTTTGCTGATTTTAGTCGCTAACTTGATCCTTTTAACTTTATTTTGTTCCTTTCATTTTCTTTCTGCTCTCTTCAGCTTTTTTGACTCCTTTCAGCAATGATGCTACTATTTTTTAATCCGTATGTTTCTGAATTATTTTTTTCAGTTATTCTCTGCCTCTTGAAGTTTTTGTTTTCAAAGTTTGGGTTCTTCAATAAATTCCAGGAATCATTTGGCTAATTTTCGGTTCCACCTCAACTGTTAAAATTCAGCGAGCAAAAATACAGTAGTTTATAAGTTTCTTTAGCAGCTTTCAGCTATTCAGCAATATTTTCACAGGAAATGCTGTGTCTCTAGTTTTAGCTTAAGATCTGTAAAACGGTTAATTGTTATGATTTGTTGCAGATTATTAGACTCTAAGAAAATTTTATTTAAATCTAGTAAGCAGTTTATAAAAGACTCCACTAATGTCCAAATGAATGAACACATGCAGAAGTTAGCAAAAACATTGTCATCTTCAGCAGCCGACGATAATAAAAGAGGAATACTGCCAGAAATTAGAGAGGTTTTTTTTTAATGGTTGAAATATGTGAAGTGATCAGAAACAGTTCAGTACTTGTCTTCTTTGGTATGGTGAATACTGCATTAAAACACCAAGTATCCTTTTAAAACCCTTAAATTTGAAGCTTATCATCTAGTAAAGTGGATTTAACTCTACTCATTACGGTCAGTGTGTGCGTATGCTCTRCATTCATTAAATATTGCATTTTAAATCATTTTTACGTCTCACTGCAGTAAAGTGAAATCACTTTCCAGGCTCATATTTAGTTGATGGATTTGCATACTAAATGTTTGTTAGTTTCTACAATTTAGACATCTTAATTTGATGACGTGTTTAACTCTTATAACACCCTCCCTATAATTTAATGACACTGGTTGTAAGTTATTTTATGAGGTTTGTAAACAGCGATCAGTTTTGACACATGGTCAGATCATGAAGCTTGAAACATTTTTAATTTCCTAGTTAGACACACAAAGATAAAGTTGACATATTGTAGTGGTAAAAATTTTGTGTCATATTGTGTGGTTTTCTGTTTTGAAACAAAGCTACAAACCTGAACTGATTCATCACTAAAAAACCCACATCAACCAAGCTGCAGTGTGGCCGAGACTGGCATATCAAATGGAAAGTAATCCCTCTCCTCCCACTAACATGACAATTAGGACATGTTTCTTAACCAGAAACAGCTTCTGCAAGGCCATAAAAGAAAACAAGAATCAACGGTCCTGTCCAGAAAAACGTCAAGCCTCGAGATTTACGACGAGTCATGCTGGACCGAGACCACGCCTGGGAGCAGAACTCGATCTGTTTAAAAAACAATTTGGACTTGTGCCGTGTGTCTGGGGCTGGTGTGGTCTTCCCCTGCTCAGTGAAAGGCTGGGCTGACAGACAGACCCATAAACAAGCAGCTTTTATCTCTGAGAGAGACATGGCAACAAAGAGCCCAGCTGCCTGGCCGTACCCCCGCCTCCCATTCCTCTGTTCCCCCCACCTTTTATCTTTCCTGTCATCGCCTCTCAGCACTGAAGAGGAGGCACGGGGAGGATGGAGGTGYGCTTAAATCTCTGCTTTCTTTTCCCTTTATTTTATTTTTTTCCACCTGGAACCAGTTCTCTGTCTGGCTCACAGACTGAACGCTGCTGCAGACGATGGAAATCCTGTTTGAATGATTTTCTTACACTGTCAGAAAGCAATACTAACTTTTTTTTTACTCGAATAAGTTGGACTAATTCTGTTTCTGAGCATATGTGTTTCCATATGAATAAATATTACCATGAAAACATGTTAACAAGGACATCTAACATTAATTTTACATCATTCAGCTTCTTCTGATGAAGGGCATTTATAACTGTTCTTTGCATAAACGCAAAATCTGTTGTTTAAATAAGAGATTTTTTTTCATTCTTGCACAAACAAATGTTTCTGTTTCCATAAAGCACCAAGATCCCTGTTGTAGTTACAGCAGCAGTTTATCTAGATCACTAACATTTACCACTTATTTCTATAGACAGACAGGTGTTTTACAGTAAACAAGGCAGACATCCGTGGAAAATCTGTCTGAATTGATAAAAAAACTTCATGAAATTCTGACAGGCTCTTTCGACACAAKCACAAATGGCAGCAGTTAATGCTTTGTGGGATGCATAAAATGCTGAGCAGGTTGCTTTAAAAGCTGATGTTCTGCAAACATGGCAAAAAGAGAAGGGACGTGGTCATGCTCCGTGATCTGAAGGAAGGTGAAGGAGACAAAGGCAGAACATGGGGCAAGAGGAAACAGACAGCAAAACCTTTGTTTGATCTGATTATGGATCCTGTCTAATTGGGATGAACAAACTATTACTTGGCTCGACAAACAAACTGCAAAAAATGACATTGTACAGGGCTGAGAAATTTACCCATATAGAACAGGTGATCCTTTGTGATATCAGTGTTGTGAGGACAACATTTGTATGATAAATTGTGCAGCTTTGGTCTTTAAAATGATCGGATCTCAATCCGTTTGAACATCTGATTTGTCAGAATGTGCTGTCAGCCATCATCAGTAGAAATGAAACAAAATAATTGTGTTTAGTCGGTGTATGGTTAGCTATTTGGTTGTCCCATTAACAAAAAGCAAAAAAAAAAAATAAAAATTAAAAATTGGTGTGGGTTTTTTTTTGTTTGTTTAAATTAGAAAAACATCACAAAGTTCTATAGTCGTTACAGAATAGTGTTCGAGTGCAGACATTGCTGATATCTTTAGGAATGTTTTCTGTATTTAAGCAGTCTTTCAGCCACTTTAAACTCTTCTTCTTATTTGGCGACTTCCATCACGGTATTGCTACATATTTAAACAACAGTATTTATTTTATCTTGGATTTAGATGATTGAAGTAAAAGTCAAACACTGCAGATGTTTAAATAGGTAAATTTTACATTTAGGTTTTAAAAACAAAAAAAATGTTATTTTTTGTGATTTTGTTTTGAAATGGGGAAAATGCAAAAATAAATAAATAACCATGCACAGATTATGTTCCATCCCTTTTATAGATACTGAAAATGTCCATGGGGTAACATGCGGGGGGGTTATGGGATGTTTTGACCTCACAATAATTTGTAACCCCAGCCCTAATAAATTACATAATCTGCTCCAACGTAATAGAAATTAACTAGTTAAGTGCACTGCTGCAACTCTCTCGTTGTTTTTAGGTAGCTTTGACCTGATTTCAAATTTACTTATTTTTATTTATTTATATGTATATTYAAGCATAATTGCTGAAAATGACATGCAGGGTTTTAGAGCACAGCACACACCCTCACCCCCTCGGTATAAGGTACACCCTTGTTTATGTTATGATTACACAATTTATGGAAGTGATTTCTTTCATTCGTCACCTCTCTGTCAGTGAAATTGGCCCGATTCCCTCATACGTACCTCCATTTTGTTTAGGGACACCCAGCAATCAGAAGGGAAGTCCTGCAGCATGGGAACCAGGAACTGTAGGCAGCCGTCCCAGTGACACAGCAGCAGCATCATCCCAATCAGGTTGATAATCCGCATCACCGCGCTGGCCAGGTCATAGGTCATGTGGAAGATCTGGATGGCAACCGTGGAGACAGAAGGAGGCGTTAAAACCAAAYTGACGCATGTGGCGATGAAGTCATACGATGTCAAAGTTGGGTAAATCCCCGCTCAGCTCTGCTGGCTCTGATTAACGAGCAGGGAACGCGACGCACCGTCAGCAACAAACTGAACCCAGCGGGAGCGGATGAGACAACTTTTCACGCAGAGATGCTTGACATYGGTGAGCGTCTCGAACACGCACAGACGCTCACACAGGCCTGCAGGCTACGGAGCTGCGCTAACAACACCATCGTCACATGGACAGAGTGTCGGACAGGGACCATCACGATCCTGAATAACCGATAGTCTGAGSCGTCCCAAGCGTCAATCAGGCCGATCATCAGAAACCTGAATAACCTCACAGCTTAACGACAAACAACCAAAATATTCTGGAGCAGGGTGTAAACATGCAGCAGCTCCATTTAAAACATGTGTGATGAAGTCCACTCTGAAGGAAGTGGGTCGTTTTAGTGCAGCTGAGGGAGAAGAGATACTTGGTGATGGGAGTGATGAGGAATGAGACTGGACATGAATCACATGTGCTGAACTTTCTAAAAGCAGCTTTAACCTTTATGATTTTTTCACTGTCGCTTTCTATTCATCAGTAACCAAGAAAACAGAGATCACGATGATGTTCTTCTCACCGGGAATGGATCAGAGAAACTGTACCGCAACACAAGCGGCCGAAGAGGTCCAGCTCCAAGAACAGAGCTTTAGGCTCAAACGTCTGGAGTTTCTAAATAAATCACAGTGGAAAATTTGCAAAATATGCATTTGAACTGCTCAGGTCAATCAGTGTCTTTACTCTTCAGCTCATCTTACTCTCATTCTCCACACATGCTGTATCACTTCCCATCATGCAACACCGTGTGTGCATGTGTGCACATCCCATCATATCTTCAGAAATCCAATTATACAAAGGTCAAGTGAGCAGYCGAGCCCACTGCGCTGTTCACTGCTGCAAAATGCCAACGTCGCTAACGCTGGCAAAAAAAAACCTAAACGGTGAGTGATCTCGTGACACCGCTTGTGTCCCGAGCTGATCTCCTTCAGTTGGAAGAACAAAAAAAAAAACGTCCAACAAAAATTTAGACTGGGGAGGGACAAGCAGAAAGAAATTACACTTTATAAAACACAGTTTTATTGTCTGAATGCTGAGTCAGCACGCATATTATTGTCTTCTTTTCTGCAATCAAACCAGTTCCACATACTTTTTGTTTTAACTCTTCAAACAATACAACTATTGCGTTTGTGGCTTTAATACTTTTCAAAAAAAATTGACTTTCTTTAAAAGGCAAGAAATACATTGAGATTGTTTAAATAGTTTTAAAATCAGTGTTCTCTTTGAAATCTGCTTCAGTATAYTACTTTATGCTACTTTGAGCTTTCAGCTGGCCTTCTGTTATTTTAACTTTTAGCCAGTGWTTGGCTTTGATCTAGCCTTTTGCTACATTTAACTTTCAGCTATTATATGCTACATTTGGGTTTTAGCTTTTGTTTTGCTTTTAGCGTTGAAGTGCCTGTGAGATTAAATTTTTTGTTATGAATATGAATGCACTTTTTGAAAGATATCCTTACTAACTTATTGTAACAAATGTTTCACATCACTGAGATGAACAGTTGTTGAAATATTTGCATGTGAAGTAACAGRAAATGATGTCAAAGAGGAATGTCTGCATGTGAACAGAGCATCGCTACAATAACTAAAATTACAGACTGTAGAGGAGAATCTGATGTGTCTTTAGAATATTTTCAGTCTCTCTGAGAGAGATGAAAAATAAATAGAGTTCAAATTATATTGTTTCAATAAGCAAAGACCAGAGAGTTTTCTTTCTTGAATTCCCCTTTGATGTCACTTCCTGTTTCACTTTGGCTCAGCCAAACAAGATGTCTGAAAAAACAGTCTGAAAATCTGCCAGTTTTGTGACAAAAAGTGTAAAATTATGTATTTTATTCTAAATTTCTTAAATCTAAAGATGTTTTCTTTAATTGTTTGTGTTTGAAGGATATACAGGCACTTTAAACCACTGCTTTTATAGATTTTTGATAAGATTTTGCTTTAGCTTAGCTTGTGTTTTGCTCATTTCAGCTTTAAGTTATTTTACTTCTTTCATGTTTTAGACAGGGTTTTGCTATTTTTAGCTTTTATTTTAGTCTCTGTTCTGTTCATTTTAGTTTGTTTTTCTTCTCAGCCAAACAGAAAATGTAATTTCACAGTTTTATTTTAATTCATTTTGTTGATAAAAAYGGATCCAAGCTGACTCAAAATCAGTTTATTTACCTTTGTTTTATTCTATTAGACACATATCTAATCACAGGCAATTGCCCCCTCCAGCGCTGATTATTACCATTATCCTCCACCTCACCTGCTCCTCCTCTGGTGCTTTAATTGATTAACTATGTTTATCCTGATAATAGGCTGCTTATTAGACAGCCTGAAGCCACCTGTGGGACTGCCGGGTCAGACTGCGAGATGGAAGAGCAAGGGGCTGCAGCGACAGTAGGAGAAACTAGCAAGCAAAGTTTGATCATGTTTAAATGTGTTGCTGACATCATATTTGTTTGTTTGTCTCCAGGTGGCAGGTGACAGCATCAATAAATCAGGAGGGCAGGCGACTTGGAGCAGACAGAGGGGCAGCTTGTCGGTTTGGTCATGAGCCAGAACCAGCATATTGGAGACAAATCAGTGACCTTTCATCGCTAACAAGACAGGCTACGTCTTCCTCTTTGTGTCTGAGTTTTGTTATTAGTAAAACACAGCAGTAATTTGATCAGGGACAGACATAAAATGTGTGTATCCTTACCTCTTCCCATTGGTGAATGTAGCGTATTAATCTGGAGAGCCTCAGAAGCCTCAGAAGACTTAATATCTTTGTAAAACGGACAATCCTCAGGGCCCGAGCCGTCTTGTACACCTCCGAGTCGATCCCTTTCTCCACTATTAGGAATATGTAATCCACTGGGATGGAGGAGATAAAATCTACAATGAACCAAGTTTTTAAGTACATCTTCTTGATGGTTTTAGGGTCCAAAATGATGTCCGAGTTGTCCTCAATGATGATTCCAGTGCGAAAGTTGAGCACCAGGTCCATGAGGAAGAAGGTGTCGGAGACCACGTTGAAGATGATCCAGGGCGTGGTGGTCTCGTCCTTGAAGAAGGTGATGCCAACGGGGATGATGATCAGGTTGCCCACCATAAACAGCAGCATTGTAAAATCCCAGTAGAACCTATCAGGCGTGCGTGTGTGTGTGTGTGTGTGTGTGTGTGTGTGTGTGTGTGTGTGTGTGTGTG